ATGGTAACTTTTAAGAAAAGTTAACGATTTATTGTATATTCTTATTTAATTATTAACACTATTTATCAGCGAATTCTCAAACATTATGGACATTGCTGGAGTAATTTAGGATTTATCAATGTTGCAAATGATTTTTTAAACAATATTACAAACATACCTTATTTAATTTTTCTTCCCTATTTTCCATGCTCTGATTAAAGATTTGAATCAGTTTGTCAATGGGCATCAATCTTTGTTGTAGGAGATTATACATTACATTGTGCTAAAGACGACGATCATAATTAATGATTTATTCATTCAACTATTTTTGTTGTATATTAAAACACACATACAATTAGCAACTATATAAAAGTTATGATAATAGGTTAAATTAGTCAACGGCCCCTTTTAACAATTTAAAGTAAATTAACTGGCAAGTAACAATAGAACTGTGTACAAAAAGCACAGCGATTTTAAAATTTACCTTTAATTGCAAGTTTTCAAATCGGGTTGATGTTCTGACCAACATTTATTATTTTCATCTTGTAAAGAAACAATCAAATCAGAATGGCTTTTAATTTCTCGTTTTATACTGTCTCTTATATCTTGCATCTCTTTGTTTATTCTGCGCACTTTGTTTTCATATTCTTCCATATCTAGAAACAGTCTCTCTAGTGTTTTGTTTGACTTGGATTCTCTTTCTTTTAAACTTTCAATTTCTTTATTCAGTTCCTTTACGTTGTTATCTTGTTCACTCATTTGTTTTCTGAGACTTTTAACATTCTGCTTTTGTTTTTTAGTCAGTTGTTCAATGTTTACCTCCATGTCACTCTGTTCTGTTACAAAGTTGTCTCTCCATTGTTTTATTTCTGATATGTCATCTGTGGACTTGTCATTGGCGTCTTGTAGAGAAGATATGGCTGTCTCTATCTGCTCAAGTCGACTGACGTCTTGTAGAGAAGATATGGCTGTCTCTATCTGCTCAAGTCGACTGACGTCTTGTAGAGAAGATATGGCTGTCTCTATTTGCTCAAGTCGACTGACGTCTTGTAGAGAAGATATAGCTGTCTCTATCTGCTCAAGTCGACTGACGTCTTGTAGAGAAGATATGGCTGTCTCTATCTGCTCAAGTCGACTGACGTCTTGTAGAGAAGATATGGCTGTCTCTATCTGCTCAAGTCGACTGACGTCTTGTAGAGAAGATATGGCTGTCTCTATCTGCTCAAGTCGACTGACGTCTTGTAGAGAAGATATGGCTGTCTCTATCTGCTCAAGTCGACTGACGTCTTGTAGAGAAGATATGGCTGTCCCTATCTGCTCAAGTCGACTGACGTCTTGTAGAGAAGATATGGCTGTCTCTATCTGCTCAAGTCGACTGACGTCTTGTAGAGAAGATATGGTTGTCTCTATCTGCTCAAGTCGACGGACGTCTTGTAGAGAAGATATGGCTGTCTCTATCTGCTCAAGTCGACTGACGTCTTGTAGAGAAGATATGGCTGTCTCTATCTGCTCAAGTCGACTGACGTCTTGTAGAGAAGATATAGCTGTCTCTATCTGCTCAAGTCGACTGACGTCTTGTAGAGAAGATATGGCTGTCTCTATCTGCTCAAGTCGACTAACGTCTTGTAGAGAAGATATGGCTGTCTCTATCTGCTCAAGTCGACTGGCGTTTTGTTATACTTTTGCCAACACTAAAGTAGACAGGCCCATGTTACTTCAGTGATAGTAAACATATAGCTGTAGACTTGTTTTGTATTAAGATTGTATACTAGTACAGAAAGCAACGCAAACACTTGTGATAATATAAAAAGCCACCAATCAAACAGCCACAACAAATAAAGCAATCACACAAGATATTATTTTATTTTTAAAAACTGTGGCGAACAGATATACATTTTCACGCGAATCATCTTCTTAACGGTCTTGTTTGATGTGCGAAAACACGTAAGCTATAGTGGTTTATTTCTCATTTAAAAAAAGAAATAAAACTCGATTAGCCTTGTTTAAGTTACGTAAAAATTACATTCTTCACTAAACCTTAACCCAACTAAATAAACTAAGTATTTTTAGCGCAATTTCCATTCTGGAGAATTTCGTTTATTAACCCGTCATTTCTGTATGGATGGATGGATGTCCGCAGCTTTAAGTCGTATCTCCTCCTCAACGAAGCAATGTCGAGGACTAGTTTCAAAAGCAAAAATGTTAAGCAAGTTCCAAGGATGATTGTGGGCCAAACAGATTGTCGCAATTCCTATCTGGATTTCCCGGAAAAGCCAAAAAACCTCGAACAAATGCAGTTTTTGCTCCATATCTCGGCAACCAGACGACTTAGCGACTTCAAACATTTACCAATCGATTCCTCTTATAATTTTGACCAATATTGCCGAAGAAAGTTTTCAAAAATATCCTTTCGTTTGGTCACAAAAAATTAATTAAGAACATTTAAACTGAGCGTCGTGTAGGTTTTTAGCGCAAAGCTGAGGTTCGAAAGGATTTTACCATAGCGAATGAGCGGAGGTTCGAAAGGATTTTTTTTTCGACTGATACGGGAGGCTAGCCTATCGCGACGTGGGATCGTTCGCGTCACTGCGCGCGCAAGAGAGAGAGAGAGAGAGAGAGAGAGGCGAGCTACGCTTCGCTTGTTTTTTTTCCACGTGATTTAAAATTGTTATGGATAACATAAGGAAATTTCGCTTAAATTGTCACTAGACTTTTTAATAACTTCTTTGATACACTTCTCTCCCTTCTCTTCTCTCTTTTTAAAAAAAAAATATATTAACAAATTTGATTCACTCTCTCATAATGTCTACTTTGAAGTAAATTCATTTTTCTTTAAATCAAGTTGAGGCCAAGATATAAGCAGGAACTTAATAGATAACCCTATGTCCTACCGACTATTCATAGCACAAGGCATGCGAAGTACCAATTAAGGCTGAGTTGACGCATTTTACTGACTATTCTATGTTGGGTTATATTCGAACATAACCCAAGGCAATCAATAACATTTAGTTTAAATATGAGGTATTTTTTTTTAATATCAGGTATAAACATTTTAATGGACTTATTAGCGCAATTTCCATATTGGCAATTGCGTTTAATAATGCGTCATTTCTGGATGGATGGATGGATGAATGGATGAATGGATGGATGGATGGATGGATGGATGTATGGATGTGTGGATGTGTGTCCGCAGCTTTAAGTCGTATCTCCTCCTCAACGTAGCAATATCGAGTACTAGTTCCAAAGCAAATATGTAAAGCAAATTCCAAGGATGATTGTGGGCCAAAAAAATTCCCGGAATTCCTTCCTGGATTTCCCGGAAAAGCCAAAAAACCTCGAAAAAAATGCAGTTTTTTGCCCATATCACGGCAACCAGACCACTAAGCGACTTGAAACACTTACCAATTGATTCCTGCCATAATTTAGAACAATATTGCCGAAGGAAATTTTCAAAAATATCCTTTCGTTCGGTCACAAAAAATTAATTTCTTCTAATTTGTATTGGCTAAGATTACTAAGAATATACAAATATTTCTACCACCATCATCCCTTCGCGTCTCACCACTAGAAGAAGCGAAGCGGTGAAGTTCCAAACCAAGCACACCGGCTGAGGCAGTCGCTAGTGAGAGGTAACGTCTACTTGTTTAAAAACAAACTTGATCACTATCTATTTTTAGATAACATAAGGAAATTGCGCTTAAATTGTCACTAGACTTTTTATTAACTTGTTTTTAAAAAAATCCCTAATTAAACCCAGACCCCCCTCTCCACACACAATATATCTCCTTATTTACTGTATGTCTTTATATTTTAAGTTGTTTTAACTTTTTTAAAAGGCTTATTATTTCTTTAATCTGATGTTTATATTACACGGGAAATAACTTTCTGCTTGCCTAATGTTTCTTACTTGTACTATGCTTGTGTAACATAGGCGGTGCTGTGTGTATAATTTAGAAAAATAAATGGACAGAGTCAAGATATTAGTTGATTAACGGTTGTGTTTAAATCAACACAGCTTAGCTATATGTCTCTTAGTAACAGGGTAGCATGTCCAACATGCATAATATATATATATATATATATATATATATATATATATATATATATATAATATGGTCTATATATTGTCAGAATTATGTATAGTCTATTTATGTGTGCGTGTTTGCGTAGGTGTTAATTCACATACACAGTTACTGACTAGAATCACAAGAGCGGTTTTTGTTTCGAGAATAACTGTAATTTATTTTTTTTTTACCGTGAAGTGAAACAAAAGTTATTGTCAGTATCTTTCAAAATATTTACAAATTCATAACATGTATTATTTTTGTTAAATATATCTCACACATATTTAAGTTACCAAGTGAACTTATTCCGTTTTTTAATAGTTCAATTATAGTTCATTGTGTTTGTCCGAAAATGCGGATTTCAATTTCAAAATTTACACACAAAAAACTGGGGTTTTGTTTTTAACAAATACAATGATACACATATACATAGAAACAAAAGACTTTTAAAAACTGATGTATCTCATATGTTTATTAGGGGTCCAAAATCAAACAACTGCTGCCTTGTAGTTTGTTCTTGGTTGGACAAAGACTATGGAAGCAAATCCAAAAAGAAAAGCAGGCTGAAATCGGAGTCAATGGCCTCAATGGCGCATAACCAGTTGACACGTAATCCTTAATTGTGATGGAAGCATGGTCGAGTAGGAAAAGCTCATGGTTGATAAATTCGAAAAAAGTCTCGAGTTCAAAGCCTCTGGCAGATAAGGCGCGATTCCTCCCAACACTAAAAATTAAGAACGAATAAGAAGAAAGATATGTTTATTGTGGTCACGTACAACATATTAATTGGTGATCACATTGAATTGGTTGGAACTGTGTAATGATGACTAAAAAAACAACATACAAACCATTAAATGTTTATGTACATGTAGTAAGTTGTTAGCGTGTGCATAACGTGTTGGTTACATGTTTTATTGTTTTGAGAATTTACCATCCACAATGTTTTGTGTTGTACTCCTATAAACTAACGATAGTAAAACTACTATAGCAGGATAAAGATGCGCCTTTATCTGATTGAAACACTTCAAGGTAAATTTCTTGACCTTTTTTCATGTCAACAACCACTGACCCAGCAGCGCTAGTTCTTGCACATTTCACTTCTATTGGCGTACAGCACCTGCTTCCAGCCATCACGCTAACTCCAATCTGTTTACCTTCCCTTTCACTTAGACTGACACAGACAAGATATAAACCATCATGTGGTGATACAAATTTTCCTGTTGTTCGATTAAAATGTGGACCGTTATATTCATGTACATCCCAGAATCTTGAAATAATTAATCCAACACTGATAGGTGTGCTATCAAGCTTCACATGACAAGCATATCTGTGACCTACACATGACTCTGTTGATTAGAAAACATATGTTTAATTTTACGAATGTTCTGACTACTTGATCCATAATATTTGTAAATTGTCGTTTCATTAGTTTATGTTATCATCTCATTATATGCGTTTTGTATGCAGTTTATAATGTAAGTAAAATTGACAAACCCAAATAAAACAATTATTTTTCAAAAAATAAACTGTATATAAGAATCCATAATGTTTACATGACTTTGTCAAAGACCATAAATTGAAACACTAGACCACTAGTTTAGTACGGTCCTTAGTTTGTGTGATGTTAGTTTATCGTTTCCCACGTATTGACCTTACCAGTTTAGTAGATCAATTAAAATAAATCGTCACAAAAAGTACAACAAATGATATTTACGTTATGCTAAAACCGGGTGTACGACAAAATCCCGAAATACACATGCCCGAATGCCGTTTGCCCCAAGGTCGATTGCCCGAACGCGACAAACATCCGAATGGGCATGTGTTAATATCAAATAGACATTCTTAATCAATTCAAGTTTGACATTTTGATAACACAATTCTAGGTATAAAAAACAAATTGGTTTATATGTTTTTAAATGTGTAAAATTTTGCATGTAATGTTTGAAAATTGAGAAATTGCTGTAAAAAAAAAAACCCTTAATCTTTAATAATGTAATGTGATGTTGACGGCGGTATTTTATACTCTCTTGGTGAAGGTTTTGAAAACCTTGATTAGCCGACGTGTTGCGGTGGTTATATAGCACTTATGACACGGTGTAGTCGGCGCGGCGTCTCACATTGAAAAGAGGCGCGTTTGGTTGATTTATTTTGTTTCGTTTAACTGGTGTGGTATTTAACTGGTGTGGTGATCATTTCACAATAGAATGAGGCGCGGTCTAGGCGGCGAATTTAAAAACTAAAAGTAGTCAATTATATTTGATCTTTATTTAATTTGTTTAGATAATGTGTTGAAGCTATTACATAATACACAAAATGAGAATCATTTTAAAAACCTCAGATAAGCGAAAATTATATTTTCGTCTTGTTTTATAGATAGCAAAAGATGTAGGACCTACACTTTCTATAATATAGCAAATACTGATTAATTCATAATGCCAGCTTGCAGATATTAAATAGTATTTTGTTCCCTTTCAATTTGGTTAGACATTTATTTAATTATCAACATTTCAAGTTTAAATTGATTAAAAATGACTTTTGGTAATCAGTAATGTTCACATTTTTCGGGCGAACGGCTTTCGGGAAAATGGCTTTTGGGCATTGTCGCATTCGGGCAAGTGTCTTTCGGGAAATCGTCCGACTCCCATTAAAATCATGCAGTCCGTATGTGTTCACATTATAGTTTAATTCTATAAGGTTTATCTATCGAAACAAAAATACACGAACAAAAGTTATTATGTTGTAGACCTACTTAATAATGACCGATCACAAGATCTGCACAGCATTTTGTAATGTTCATTTCAGTTTACAGCAAATTAATTAGATACTAAGATGTTAAAAATGTATAATTATAAATGTTTTCATGTTATTACTTTTTTTATATTTCAGATCTGGCTCGTATGTGAAAACTTCTAAATATAAAAACATAAAGGGATGAAGTGACGTTAATTGAAATTAGTTAATTTTAAACTGCAGCTCTGTATATGTCTTACTGTACTAGGGTAGACCGCTGTACGTCCGTGTAATAGAAATGCAGAGAGTAAGAGATTTAGAGAGAGCGTGAGAGTTGGCGGTAAACAAACGTATAAAACATTTTACCGATTGGTTATCATTGAGAATTATTTGATAGCTTTTACTATTCCTACATTTAACGAGAAAATCAATAGATAGAATTGTCATAATGTCACTATTGTTATATAAATAAATTTTAAAAAACTTTTTTTACAAAGCAAACTTACCTATGAGATGAAAATCGTTAGACAACTTTGAAATAGTAGTTTCAAGTTCACCCAGCTAAATTAAAATAAAGTGTAAAGGAAATAAATGAAACAATCACATATCTACTGACTCAATAGATAATGGTAACTTTTAAGAAAAGGAAATGATTTATTGTATATTCTTATTTAATTATTAAAACTATTTATTAGTGAATTCCCAAAAATTGTGGACATTACTGGAGTAATTTAGGATTTATCAATGTTGCAAATGATTTTTTATACAATATTACAAACATACCTTATTTAATTTTTCTTTCCTAGTTTCCAAGTTCTGGTTAAAGTTTTGAATCAGTTTGTCAATGGGCATCAACCTTTGTTGTAGGAGTTTATACATTACATTGTGCTAAATTGAAGATTTATATATTTAACTATTTTTATTGTATATTAAAACGCACATATAATTAGCATTTATATAAAAGTTATGATTATTGGTTAAATTAGTCAACTGCCCCTTTTAACAATTTGAAGTAAATTAAATTGCAAGTAAGAATAGAACTGTGTACAAAAAGTACAGCAATTTTAAAATTTACCTTTGATTGTAACTTTTCAAATTGGGTTGAAGTTTTGTCCAAGATTTTATTATTTTCATCTTGTAAAGAAACAATCAAATCAGAATGGCTTTTAATTTCTTCTTTCATACCGTCTCTTATATCTTGCATCTCTTTGTTTATTTTGCGCACTTTGTTTTCATATTCTTTCATATCTTGAGACAGTTTCTCTAGTGTTTTGTTTGACATGGATTCTTTTTCTTTTAAATTTTCAATTTCTTTGTTCAGCTCTTTTACTTTGTTATCTTGTTCACTCATTTGTTTTCTAAGGATTTTAAAATTCTGTTTTTGTTTTTTAGTCAGTTGTTCAATGTTTACCAAATTGTCACTCTGTTCTGTTACAAAGTTGTCTCTCCATTGTTTTATTTCTGATATGTAATCGGTAGACTTGTGTTGTGTGTCCTGTAGTAAAGATAGTGTTGTTTCAATATAGGCGAGTCTATGCTCTAGGTCAGGATGTTATTCAACTAAAAATAGTCGCACATATACAGTTTATGATTTTAAAGGAATTAAATATGTAAAAATGGGTTCTTTAAAAAAGAAAACACAATTAAAGTAATTTTCTTTTTTTAAAATTAAACAGTATCAAATCGTACAAGCTTTAACATTGTATACGGTTTACAATGCAGCTACTTAACTAGTTATACCAAACAAAACTAAGACATACCCGTTGTATGTTGAACTTGTGTCTTGAGTTGTCTTGGTGATTCTACTGTAAGAAATGTTGCAGTTGTCTAAGTGTCAGGGTGTGGTAAAGATGGCGTTGGTTTGTTGACGTCTATGTTGTCCTCGTCTGGTGGATTGGGGTTTATAATTTTATTTTAGTTGCAGTTGAAGTAAACACAGGATTTTATAGTACACACAATAATTTTTACTAGTTTAACTAGTTAAAACTATAACGCCAACCATGTAATACTCTGATAAAAAAGAACTTTGAATATGATCCAAATGTATACACATACAAATAATTCCAAAATAACCGAAATCTATATGTTGTTTTAAAATTAACTTTTACAAGAATAATTATCGAATTTATAATAAATATTAATTTTAAAAAACCTTAATGTTCTATTGACATTTAAGGCTCTTCAACGTTGTGTTAGGGCGAATAAGGTTACACGATGTGCTTGTACACATCTTTTTTGTTCATATACTGATTTACAATATTCACTAATGTGACGTCGATTTCATAGAAAAAAGAAAATTGGTTTGTTAGACAGTAAAATTATAGACCTATCTCTTTAACTTTGTATTTGTAATGCCTGTAAACTAAACTGTAAAACAATTTCGTTGCATTCTTCTCAGTAGAAACACTTTATTACTGAACGCACATGACACATGACAGTAGGCTTTGAAATTTTAAATTATAAAAACTATTAGAGTACTGACCTAAAATATGTGACGTCACATCCAACAAGGCCGTGGCTGCTGTGTCCAGTTCTTGTGATAGCTCGATGTAGCTGACAGATGATTGGTCAGTTTTTTCTTCTAGCCACGCCTTACTTTTTGCAACAACCTGGTGAAAGTAAACAACAACAATATTGTCAATTGGTCACGTGTTGAAGTGCTATATTCCTAAACACGTGTTGTTGTTCTGTGTTTTTTAACACATGCACTTCGAAAAACGCTAAACCTATTTTATAGTGAATAAAATGATTTTTACATTTGAAGTATTACGAAGACTTTTTAGTTTGTAATGACTTACAATTTTTATATTTCCCAAAATAGGTTCCAGAACTTGTATCTGTTCTTCCAAATATTTCTTACGCTCTGTAACAAACTTGACGTGAATTCTTGAAGGCATCTAAATGTTAATAACACTAAATTTTAAAAATATATTAACTCTGTCATCATCACTAAGCAAATCTAAAGCAGTGTTTCTTCTGGCAGATAAGGCTCGATCCCTGCCAACACTGAAAATTAAGAGCGAAGAAGAAGAAGAAGAAGTGTTTCTTCAAGTTAACCCTCCCCCCCTCGAAAATAGGCTACCGCCCCCCTAACGAAATATCGAAAATATATACTTTTAACAGTGTCCGCCCCCCCCCCCCCTGTAAATTTTAGTTCGCCCACCTTCCCCCCCCCCCTACCCCAAAATTTCAAGTGCCATCCTTTATCTACTGACGGTACCATATATAAGCCTAGCTCTTTAACTATTTTAATTTAAGGCGAATCTTTATAATCATTTATATATTTATAATCTTCCCTGAGTCAAGTACAATTTTAGTGTACCAAAAGTAATATGATAATTCATTGTTTAAGAAAAAAAATATTTCATCCAGAAATGAATTCAGTAAAGAAAGAGTTTATTATAAAAAAGAAATTAAATCTAATATATGAGTTATAAATCTACGAAGACTAAGTTTTTGTCCTAAATTATTAAACTATAACTGGCAATCCACAATTAAATGAAAACTACTTTAAAGATTGTTTTATTTCTTTTTTAGATATGTTAAATAATGTAGTTAATTATGTAATACATATCAGAAAAATTAGATAGTTTTCCTTGGTTTCACATATGTTATTTCCTGCTTGCTAAAATTATACACTTGGGTATTTCCGTTTTTCACTTTCTTCATTATCTAACCAGCGTTTTGATGAACTAATATTTATCTGTGAATTGCCTAAATATACAGTAATAAAATACGTTTTTTTATAAAACGACCTACATACTTTTCTATTAATTACTATATTTTAAGGAAATTATATATTATCAAGTTTAATAATTAAGACAATATAATCCTAATATATAACTAAGTAAGAATTAAGTAAGTAGAAGAGCTTTTGATTTTGAACTTCCTCTGTTGAATAATAGCGGGTTTTCCCGATCGCGTTGTCATTATTAGAGTTATCTTTCTTGTATTGATGATTTAACTACGTGTAGATTAGCCACAACAAGAAATCTATTTCATCAAAACAACTTTCGATCTAAAGGTAAGGAAACAATTGTAGATCTCATACACATCGTTTTAATTATTTACACAGCGACTAACGGTGGTGAAGTTCAGATGCGATATGGAAACATGATAGGTTGTATATCGAGGCGGTAAAATGCGAAATGGAAGCACAATTTATCAAATGTGGTGGCGGTAAAATGCAAGTGTAACCCTCACTCAGTGGGGATGCTTTTACCCACTGAGGTGTTGTGGTTAAGACGGACTGACCCTGAGATTAAGTACACACTGACACCGACAGTTGTTGTCAAGTACTCGCTTTATTTACAGCATCGAGCCATGACGGCGATGCAACACAGTAGTACGACGATTTCAAAGAGAAAATACTGAAGCAACAGGAAACCAAGAAAACAAACTAGCCAAGAAAAAAAAACTGTAGCCCTAAAACAAAAATAAATAAAAAGTTACATTCATGACAACACCACGTGTAAGCTACAATATACACGGGTACAATAAAATATGTTTCGGCCAGTACACAGCACTGCCAACAAGTACCAATATGTAGTACTACAAATAAATACTTATATTAATACTCACCCTAACTAGTGTGCACATGCAGCACTAGCAGGAATACACAAATAAGTATTTTAACAAACATAATTTATATAACTACCTTCATTAGGTTTACATCTTGGTCACCGTGTCCACAGACAGCAGCCTTGTGTGTGACTGACACGGCTAGGCATGAAACTACCCACAGGTAGCATCGCTCACAAAAGCATGAAAAAACAACTACGTCCACAGGGCCACAGCCCCACAGGGGCCGCAACTCAGTGAATTAAAACTTCATATTTTTATCCCCCTTGGCTGGTAGCCATATGTGTTACACAAGCTTTAGCTGAAAGTTAAAACAGTCGTTTACGTAACATTTGTGTCGAGTAGTTGAAATACTGCACTGGGACTATTGCATCTACAGTCATATGTTATCAGAGGCGTAGCGACCCTAGCCGGCCCCAGGGCAAACTATCAACTTTGTGCCCCCTCACATTTAATTTATATTTATAGACGTTAGTGGAAAAAAAATCTCCCCCCCCCCTGAGCTCTAGTTGAAAAGGTTGGTGGCACTTTTAGCAGTCAATAATTTTTTTTTGGTGCCACAATTAGAGTGTGTACTATTCAATACCTTAGCTATCAATGATTTCTACCCAATTATCAGTCAACAATTTAGTGGTGCCACTTATAAAAAAAACATGTAGATGTTACTTTCAAATGAACATTCATTTAGCTTATCTATAACTTACATGCAGATGTCTGAGTACAAACCCACCCATGAATCTTTGAACATTCTGTTGAAACAGTTAGAGAAGATGCATGTTCATGTCCAAATTAATTTAAGTCATTGTGTCACACAGGTAAATCAAATTTTGTATATATATATATATATATATATATATATATATATATATATATATATATATATATATATATATATATATATATTGTAACGGACACCAATCTATCAGCCAGATAGATGGCGAACGCTCCCGGATTCGTTTAACTGATTATACACAGATGGCGACAAGCCTAAATAAAAGAAAGTTAACACACTAGTTCGCTAGGACTCGTAATTGATGTCTAGGGGAAACACTAGAGAAACTACTGATGCCAACAATACATTTAATCTGCATATAACTTGTAATGAATGTAAAAAGTCGTGGCAGAACACTAGATTTATACAGGAATAAAATAGATTTACAGAATGAACAAAACCCAACTTACAATTCGTGGGAAAAAATAATACGATACACTGTCACAACTTTTAACACTTCAGAAAAATCACCACAGTATACACATCACTGCTATAAGCATAAAGAATTACTTAACCACAAGTAATATAAGAATATGCTACTTAAACTATTTAGTACTACACGGCAACACACAGGGCTTATGTCTCTCAACGACGTCTGATCAATGAACTGCCTATTGTGCGTCACCAAGTCTCATAGATCACATTAAGTCATACGACCACACAGGTCGAGGGTCATGGGATCAAATGTGATCCAGGCCACAAGGGCCACCCTGAGGGTCATGGGATCTAACCGGGAACCGAAACCCGTGATCCAGGCCACTGCGTAACAGGGCCACCCTTCTCGGTTCCGAACCGAGGAATCGAACCTCGGCCGCCGCCGTGGCGCGCCGAGATTCTAACCACTGTGCCACACCACAGACTATATATGGTATTAAAGCCAAATGTAAAAAAAAAACATTACCAGACCTAAGTAGGTCACAATATATATATATATATATATATATATATATATATATATATATATATATATATATACATATAGAATGCTTTTCCAATATTATATTCTATATCGAACTCATTTGAATTATAAATCTGTATTTTAAATAAATATTGTTATGGCTAGTGCCTTTGCCCACGACGAACATTTATTTTAACTGAATTAATAACGAAAACTATTTATCTACTAATCTATGTGCTCTAATTAATTAGATCAAACTAAAAACCAGGAACTGGATGGATAAAACGTCTGACACTGATATGACATTTAAAGATGTAGTTTACATGGTAGCATCCGCGAATGCTACATTGATAGAACATGTAGATATTCTAGCTGGTAAAGTGAACGTTTCTATCTTGCTTTTAGAATTGGCAGCTACATTGATATGTTCAACTTTAGTTTTTTTTTTTTTTAATAACAGTTTTTGAATATTAATTATGTAACATATAATGGAAAATTTAGGCATGTCATTTAGTTATTTAATGTGAGTGAATAGTTGTTTTCTTATTATGGAGCATACGAAAAGAAGTGATGTTTATTTTTTGAACAAAGACATAAGTTAATATATCTATTTTAGATTGATAAAGTTTGTAGTAAATCAAATTGAAAAGTTGAAACTGATAGATAGTTTTTGTCCTGATCAAAACATTTTTTATGTTACAATCGCTTTCTAACAAAATTGTATATTCTTACCAATTAAAAAGTTTCAAATAACCCATCTTTAGACCAAGCTTTTTTTACAGAATACATAATACGGTCTACCAAGACAGTTAGTACAACACAAGACACCTGGTGTAACAGACACCAAGAAATCTCAAACTAGTCAGAGAGGTTTGTAAATTAAAGAACAATTAATAGCTTAATATGTGTTTAAACTATTGTTGCATAAACAGTTATTAACTGTTTAAATTTAAAGGAGTTGAAATAATACACTAGTAATTATTTTGTTGTTGCTAGTCTGTGGAAGCATCTCTCATTTTGTTTCTGTAGTGTGTTTAAACCATGCATGCTATATATACATACTCGAATCAATCTTATTCAATTCCGGATTGTCAAATCGTGTGAAACTTTTTGAGAAACCTACAGTTTCTCTTCAAGGAACAAAATAAAATGCTGAAGATGACGTGTCAGAATTAAAACGATGGAGAGAAATCTTGGTATCAGAACAGTGCGACTGGACAACAAGAATTGAACAATTAAGTAAAAAGCAAAAGCAGAATTTTAAAAACATCAGAAAACAAATGAGTGAACAAGATAACAAAGTAAAGGAGCTGAACAAAGAAATTGAAAATTTAAAAGAAAATGAATCCTAATAAAAAAAATACTAGAGAAACTGTCTCTAGATAAAAAAAAAGAATATGAAAACAACCCACACAAACGAAATAAAGTAATGCAAGTTCATACAGATATTAATAAAATAATGGCCGACGTATCAACCAGCATTGCTAAATTACAATTAAAGGTAAGTCAAAATAAAATTACATTTTCGAAGACTTGTATACAACATTCTTCAGCTCATCTGTAATTACAAGTTTAAATCTGAACACAATACTAAACAGCTGAGGTAGATAAAGTCTAGAAGAGTTTCCATAATGAAACTAAAATTTCTTGCAACATTTGTTTTAAGGCTATTTAAATGTCACCCCGTGAGGTTCGCACCCCCGCCTCGCGACGCCATCGTACACCCATACAGGTAGATTAAACCACAATTTTTAGAGAATGTTAAATGTTTCCAGGCATCTCTTCCACCCCTCCCACCTCCTCTCCGAACGAAACGAATTTATATAAAAAAATATATGCTTTTAACAGTGTCCGCTCCACCGGAAATTTTAGTTTCCTCCCCCCCCCCCCTCTGTGATATTACAGAGGGATTTTAGTTGTTTGCTCATTATAATTTGACATACTTTGGACTTTTTATTTGTAAAATATTTGTATTTTGTAAGGTTAATCTTGAAATTATATTTAGGTAATAAATGTAATGATATTATGAGCGTGACAAAGTGTAGATGTCTATTACTTGTTTGTTTACCGAAGGAGATAACATTCATTAAATAAACAAAGGCAAAAGATCCTGCATACTGAAATATAAATTAAAACCATATGTGTAACAAGTCATTTAGTAAACCAAAACTCTTAATTTAATACTGCACACTCATATGCATACGAAAATATACAAGAATTAATACACATTTTTGAAAATGTGGCTTCACTGTTGTTTTGTTTTAAGATTAATCCCTTGGGCAAATAAATAAAAAAAATTACAACCTCCGGTTATATATGATAGACCTGCATAATGTGCTAGGTGTCGTATCTATACGTAGTGTTTATATCAACATGTAGGACAGTGTCAGAATGTATTTAGGATGCGTCGTAAGAAATTGTCAACAATCGACAGAATGTGGTTATTTGAGAAATCAAAATGTACTTTACACGCAAGAAAACTCTAACAATGTTTTTATGAGAATGTTTCATTATATTTATTTTAAACAAGATTGAAGATACATGCATTAATCAAAACAAAAGTTCTCTAAATACACATATTATCGTTTAATTTCAAATTGCATATTTTATCTCTGTCTAAGATAGTGTAGGTTTGTAATTAGTCAATGAAATTTACCAGCTTGTATATTTAAAGAGTTTACTAACTTGCACATTTAAAGCAGCATTTTGACAATGTATATATTTTTATTTATGGACTAACAATCTTGGGTAAAGTGTATAGTACCGCTTTATCCGTATCTCCGGGCACAGAGATTTAAGACTCGAACCGATGAAATAGTACTATGGTTCACATAATTAATATGTTTGTTACAAATTTTATTGGTTAGGGAATTTTTCATCTATCATGTTTCGTGTTGTATTTCTATAAACTAACGATAGTAAAAGTACTTAGCCAAGATAACTTTGCGCCTTGATCTGCGTGATACACTACAAAGTAAAGTTCTTGACTTTTCTTCATGTCAACAACCACTGACCCAGCAGCGCTAGTGGCGGCACATTTCACTTCTATAGCCGTCCACCACACGTCTCCAGCCGACACAGCAACTCTAATCAGTTTATCTTCACATTCATTTAGTGTTACACAGACAAGATATAAACCATCATGTGGTGATACAAATTTTCCTGTTGTTTGATTAAAATGTTGACCGTTAAATTCATGCACTTCTTTAAATGTTGAAATAATTGATTCTTCACTGACAGGTGTGTCATAAGCAAGCCGTACATGACAAGCATATCTGTTACATACACGTGACACTGTTGATTGGAAAACATATGTAGGGTATACATGTTAAATTTCAAGAATACTCTATTTGATCCATAATATTTGTGAGTTGCCAAAATAGTATCATTGAGAATAACTCTAAGTATAAACATATTATGTGTGTTTTGTATCTAGTTCAGAAAATCACCACCTCAACTTCAAATTTAACCGGAAACGAAAAATGTCATTAAAAAAACGGATTTTTATCCAGAATCGGCATTTTATCCAGATTGAAGCTTGATCTACATGTAGTTACTGCACATTGATACTAATTATAGTCGTAATCATACCTTTAAACATTGCACCTAAGATCAAACCTGAGAAAAGTAGCATTTAGAGTTAATTTCAGGCAACTCTGAGGGGCAGGCCCCCCCTCCCCCCTCCACCACCCAACACGAAGCAAGTCCCCTTCCACGAAATACAACATATGAAGAAAAGATTTACTTTTACCAGAGTCCGACCCCTCCAACAAAATTTAGTACGAGGGAGGCCGACTCTGGTTAAAGTAGGTCTATATATTTTCTATATTAATTATATTTCGTTGGGGGGGGGGGGGGCGATTTGACGTTCTACCGAGGAGAGGGGGGAAGAGGAGGGACTTCGCCCCTACACGAAGAGATGCATTAAAGAAACTCTGTACGCAAAACGCTTTTAAGATTAGACACGTAAATTATACGTTAATGTCAGGTTTTTACTTTCTCGTATATACGAAGTATAGAGAAAGTATTGTAATCGTGCAAAAAATTTTTTCGCGATTTCTACAAATCTCGACGTTTTACACCTCACTGATACGGAAAAACATAATTTTGCAATCTTGTCCGTATGTCTGTGTGTCTGTGTGTGTGTGTGTCTGTATGTCTGTGTGTAAACACGATTATTTTGAGTACCGTTACAGCTAAGTTGATGAAATTTCATATATAAGTATTTTATCAAAATCGTAGATCCGTATCAACTTTTGAGCGTTTTCCGATAAAAAGGAAGTGGTACTTTTTCCACTTTGAATTTTTCAAAAGCCTATAACTTGAGTACTATTTCAGATAGATAAATGAAATTTCACACGTAAGTAAAAGATCTAATTGAAATTTCACGAGCTACGAGTGTAGTAGGTGACGTAATAGGTCACAAAAAGTACAACAAATGTTATATGCGTTTTGTTATAATTATACAGTCTGTATGTATCCACATTATAGTTGAATTAAATAAGGTTAATATATCCACTAAGAGTTGTTAGAACTAAATAATCTGATGTACTTATGAAACTCTAATAAAACCGTTAACATGATTAGCACCATACATGTTTAATATTGCTTATCTCACGTTAATTTAGGTACACATAGTAGAAACATAAAGTAATGATGTCGACTCCCGACATACCAGGGGGTGCAATGGACAAGGTGTCTAGAGACTGGCTATAAAAGTAAGTGAAATGTTCCATTTTATATCTAGCTATGGTCTTTTTGGCTAACGAACATCACGTTATGGTCTGTCTGGCTAACGAACATCACGTTATGGTCTGTCTGGCTAACGAACATCACGTTATGGTCTGTCTGGCTAACGAACATCACGTTATGGTCTGTCTGGCTAACGAACATCACGTTATGGACTGTCTAGCTAACGAACATCACGTTATGGTCTGTCTGGCTAACGAACATCACGTTATGGACTGTCTAGCTAACGAACAATATGCTATGGTCTGTCTTGCTTACTAGCAACACGCAGGGGGGGGGGGAGGATGCAGAGATATTTAGCAGAGGTAAGCTAAAGTAACAAACTGATTTCAGATCGGCTAGCATCGATTATTCTATGTCAGTTATGTTACATTTTCACCAGAAGTAAAGTATATTTACCGTTAAATCATCATTGTTTTAAGATAATAATTTTTTTTTAAGCGCACTTACCGATGAGGTGAAATTCTTTGGAAAACATTGAAGAAGCATTTTCAAAATTGTCAATCTAAATTAAATACAATTTAAATAACATAATGAAATAATCACATAATTACGTAAAACATACGATAGCTCAACTGAATTTATTTGGAAGTGGGAACTTTTTATAATACAAAATGAAATATAAATGTATTAAAGAAAACAGATGGTATTAACTGGACTAACAACAGAGTGTTAGTAAATAATGCATTGCTTTATTTATGTTGCAATTAATTTGTTAAATAAACTTATTAGAAACATACCTTATTTATTCTTCCTTCTCTATTTTCCAAGTTCTGGTTAAAGATTTGAATCAGTTTGTCAATGGGCATCAATCGTTGTTGTAGGACTTTGTACATCACATTGTGCTAAAAGGATTATTACAAATTTGACTATTTCTACTGTATATTAAAATTTCAGACATAAAAGTGTGCTTTAACATTAGTTTTAAAATAAGAAGTATTACAACTGACCTTTAATTAAATGTTACAATTGGTTATAATACTTGGAGTTGATAGCGGTATAGAGCTGGACTGCTTACCCGTAAGTCTCGAGTTCGAATCCGGGTTCAAGTCAGTAGACCGTCCTTGAGTCCACCCAACTCTAATAGGTACCTAACTCACGTTAGGGAAAGTAAAGGCGGCTGGGCATAGTGCTGACCACAATATCTCTTCATATGCCAAGGTCACAAAAACAAGTGAACTTGCCCCATGAACCGTCTGGTTTGAAAGGGAACCTTCACATGGAGTTGATAAACTGGCAGGTAGGTGCATAATTGTGGACCTAATTAAGTATCAATTTAAATGTTTACCTTTGATTGCAACTTTTCAAGTTTGGTTGATGTATTGACCATCATTTTATTGTTATCTTCTTGTAAAGAGGAAATCATTTCAGAATGTCTTTTAATTTCATCAGTTATACTGTCTGTTTTAACTATGTAAAATTGTATTTCTTTATTTATTTTGAGTAAGTTGTTTTCATATTCTTTCATATCTAGAGACAGTTTCTCTAGTGTTTTGTTGGACTTGGATTCGTTTTCTTTTAAACTTTCAAATTCTTTGTTCAGCTCCTTTACTTTGTTATCTTGTTCACTCATTTGTTTTCTGAGGTTTTTAAAATTCTGCTTTTGTTTTTTAGTCAGTTGTTCAATGTTTACCCCCATGTCACTCTGTTCTGTTACGAAGTTGTCTCTCCATTGTTTTATTTCTGTTATGTCATTTGTAGATTTGATATTGGTGACTTGTATGGAATACATGGTTGTCTCTATCTGCTCAAGTCGACATAATATATCTAAGGCAATACAATGTTAAGTCAATCGGAGAAGTAATACTGTTTAAGAAAATAAATTAAAATATTTCACTGTTCCATTATTGGTTTAATGATTACTTTAAAAAACGTATTTGGGTATACCTGATGATTGATGAAGTTTTTTAAGATTATGATCTGTTGATTCACCACTGCCATGGTCTTCTGTTGCTGTAGGTTGTGGTGTAGACTGATATGAAAATGACCTTCCTTCAGTATCTACAGTGTTTTTATTTTCGTCTTAAAAACATAAATCAACAATAATCTCTAAAATTTTAATCAAATATGTTTTTTTTCTAAAGTATGAATACTTTTTAACTTTTTTTTTTCAATATAATTTTAAGCTACATTTACTGCAATGTCAGGGGTATTTGATAAAATGAAATTTATTAATATTAAATAATATTGACACACTCAATAATTTTCGAAGCTTTCCTGTTATTATTTTATTTTTATTTTCTATTCAGTTATTGATAATTAATTGATACACCAGAGTATTAAACAAAATATCAGACACTTGTATTTTAAAATATTTACCTAAAATATGTTCCGCTACATCCAACATGGCTGTGGTCGCTGATTCAAGTTCTTGGCATAGATCACAGTATGTCAAAGATTTGTTGTCACTTTTATCTTCTAACCAAGTTTTACTGTTTTGTACTGCCTTATGACATTAAACATTAACATATAGCGTTAAAAGTGTGTGTTGGTGTGTTGTTTAAAAAACATTGTTTTCTTTAATGTTTGTAGGTTTTAAATAATATACTTTATGTTTAACAACAACAAAATAGACAAATACCACTTGCCACTTACAACTTGTAAAGCTTCAACCACAGGTTTAATGACGTTTATATTTTCTTTTAAATAGTTCATGTGTTCTGTAACATATTTTACTTGAATTCTAGGACGCATCTGAATAAAATAGAGTAAGTTAGATCGTAAAAACTAGAACGTAAATTAAGTTTTTAATTACGTTTTTTTAATAAAAAGAATGTCTTTTTCACGGCGTCGTAACCAAATAATTCTTATACACTATCCTTAAAAAGTTTCAGACTTGAATTATTTAAACATTATTTATAAACAATAATTTCATAGAATTTAATTGCCATCAACTCACATTTGTAGTCTTTGTGATTCGACAGTTGTCTAGTTTTGTAAACATTAAGTTGGTGGAAATTTTGATGTCGTGTAAAACTCGGATTTAAAATTATTTTAAAATGTAAACTCACTTTTGACTGAAGAATAAAACAAAGTTTTTAGTTGGTTTGCTCTTGTTGCAGACAAACTAGTTCCAGTAGTAACAAAATGTCGCTCCGCTTCAATGAACAAAATGTCAAGTCAATAACACAAATTACCCTTACCATGTAGTGATATCTCTATTTATGTGTACTTTGTACTGTATCGTTCTTTGGCTTATTATCCTGCTATTTATCTTCTCAATAAACATATAAAACCTGTTAATCGTGTTATCATCAATATTACACACGATGTGATTTTATCAGTTATAACGAATGTGTGATGGTGTAAGTTCGTTCAAGCTAATCGTTTATGTGTAGGTACCTTTACCCTAGTTTTGATAGTACATCATACACTCACTCACTTGTATAAACAATAAAAATTCGTCAGCGCATAGTAAATAATTTAATTTAGTTTTGGTGAACAGACACGTGATAAAAAATCTCAGTGGTCGCGAGATGTGAGTGAGAGGAGTGGGTCACGGGTCGCATCAGTTTCAAACTTTTAGGAGTGGGGTGGGCGTATGATGACACCCCAATTAATAATTCCCATGGTAACCATACTTTTTCAACTTCAATTTATAACTGTTAGTTTACATTGCTTAAGCACAGGTTCATTAAAGTAGGGGAGTGTTGAGAGAGAACATCTTTCAGAGCAACCAGTTCCGCTTCTAGGTGGATTAATATAATGTGTACACAAAGTGATGTCATTTGACATCAGAGAATAGAGTGAGGATACACACCAAAACATCTTTCATGGTGCAAAAATTGTATATTATAAATCATAAGAGTTAAGCATGTAATCCACCTAAGCAGATTTGAGCGACACCACATTGGGCAATCGTAAATCAAATATTTACTCGATGGTTGGATGTGACTTCCAAGTAACGTTTAGATAATATCAAGAATGGTTGAATACAACAGTCTCCAAGTGTAAAAGTATAAGTTTGTGTGTGTGCGTGTGTGTGTGTGTTTAGAGTGTGTGGGGGAGGAGACACTAACAAAAGAATAAAAATATAATTGTAAATTTGATTGTGTCCGTTGACTTAGTCATTTCGCCGTACATTAGTTTCCGTATTGATTTGTTATGCATAATATGTGATATGATTAAACAAACTATCACAACTTACGTTAGTTAACCTAACGTTTAACTCACAGACTTACACATTTAAACAAACTATTACAACAGACCGCACTAAATAGTCAGTAGAACAATGTATCGACCTACACTTGATTTATAGCTTAAAGGCATCTGTTGACAGGAATTAAAAATGTTACATGGGTGTCTTTATTGTTACAGTTTTGAAAAACAATTATCTGCTGACGTACATTAGTCGCTCCCCTTCCCACACTGTGAGCACGCAACGTTAAACAGCCACACAAAATACACACTGATTAAAAAAATAGAAACGTTCACCTTATATCTGTCAACTTCATCTTGATAAAAACACAACAGAAGCTGTTGGATCAATTCTTTCTACATTCTATAGTATTCGAATTCACGTAATCCATTTTAATCAAAACACAGAAAAACATGCGGCATTAGATGATGGATTATATCTGGTTACTGTCACGTTACAGGAGACGGGAGATGAGCAAATCCGAGTTAGTGTGTTAAATGGAGATAACGCCTTGCAGAAACAAGATTTTGTAAAATCTGCAACATATTGTCTGTGGCAAATCTGCAATTTGTATTAACAAAGAAAGAAGACAAACTCGACTTAAAGCTTCTCAAGCACAAGTGGTGGGGGACACGCAACATACACCTAGTGGCTTACCTTTTATTTGATAGAAAAACTGTTTTCTTAAGTAAACAAAAACTAAATTGTGTTAGACAGCCTCAGTGTTTTGTATGGTAGTGTTGTAGATTGTTCTCGGCTTAGTATTTGATCGTATTGTTTACATGTAGACCAAATATCAGATATCTTTAAGCAACACCCCATTCAGCACAACACGATAAGCAGCACACCGCCTGGTCTACCCTAGTACAGTAAGACATTTACATTTCTGCAGTTTAAAACTAATTCCATTAATTGACTGTAACATGAAATGAACAATATAAAAGGTTGATGGTGCTAACCTTGTCATCGCTTTTATTAGAGTTTCATAAGTACAAAAGAATAACTTTATTTCTAGTAATTCTTGCTTTAATAGATGGACCTTATATAATTAAATTATAATGTAAAGACATACGAACTGAATAAGGCATAATATAAAATTGTTGTACCTTTAGTGAAGTATTAATTCACCTACTACACTTGTGCTTTTAACATGTTGGAAGCGATAAACTAACACCACAAAAACAGAGATCGATCCACCCACCCCTGTAAAGACATTTTTCCTTCCACACCCCCCCCCCCCTCATTATTTAAAATTTTGTATCCACTCACCACTTTTTTCTAGGACGTTTGGCTCTCTTTACCTCAAAATTGAAAAAGATGTTAAAAAATAAAAGCCACATAAAATTGTGTTGTCTAACTATCATTGCTTAACTCATGTTAGGAAAACCAAAGAAAAAATAAGGCAGACGAGCAGGATGCTAAAGTTATCTCCTTTTTTATCTTTTTGTAACACATGATGCAACTCTCTATACTTGGTACATGCAAATGCTTCTTTTTAAGTTGAAAAAAAAAGAGAATACCTTCTACTTGCAATCGTATATGTTATGTCCTGTCGGATACCCAAACTATTCACAAAAATCCAGTTTCACTTTATTTCAGATGCCTTTTCCCCAAAGAGAGATACATCAGTAAATCTGAAACCAATTAAGTTGTCAGGCTTGTCCCCTTCTATTGAAATTATTCCTTCCCGAATTGTACTACATTATTTGATACAGCCCACTTATTTATCTCATATTTGTATTGTTTTGAAACATTGTAATCATATTTGAGTTCAATATTGAATATTAAATAAAAAGGTAGTAAGTATATACGAGCAAAGTGAATGATACATTAATAAATCAGTGTACATCATATTCCATGTTTCTGTTGCAGGTAAACGATTCTTGTTGACACAAAGATAAAAACGTACTTTTAGTTATACATATCAAACTAGAGTTATCATTGTGTCCTAAATGTTAAAGACGTCAGTTGACAGTAGTCCGAGAAGACACATACAAGTTGATTGTGTTGAATTGGTTAGGCATGTGTATGGTAAACATAGGACATGACTTGACATGGATTCTAAATACATAAAAGTTTAATAGAGTGGGTTTACAAATTTAGTTTTTTACATTCGTTTTTTTTTTAAATAATTTCCCAACCACCATTTTTAGTGTTGTGCATCTATAAATTAACGATAGATAATAATCATTAAAAAAGTTTAAAAAAACCCACGTTTTCTGATTGAACTAAAAAGTAGAAAATAAATGCTATAGGCCCTACATCACAATAATGCAAGCGATCACTCTACTATAAGCGATGAAAAACGTGGGGCGCCGAAGTAAAAGTTATATTACTATTGATTAGATAATACTATTGACTTTTATTAGGGAGCTTGTAGAGAGTCAACAGTATTAGAAACTGTAAGAAAATCACGGCGCCCCACGTTTTTGCTCGCTTATAGTAGAGTGATCGCTTGCATTATTGTGATGTAGGGCCTATAGCATTTATTTTCTACTTTTTAGTTCAATCAGAAAACGTGGGTTTTTTAAAACTTTTTTAATGATTATTATTTTCTACTTTTTAGTCTTTGTCTGTTTGTTTGCATTAAAATCTTGCTATCGATTTTATCTTTTCACTTTTTTTGGGTAAACGAAGACAACTCGTAAAAAGACAACTCGTAAAAAGACAACTCGTAAAAAGACAACTCGTAAAAAGACAACTCGTAAAAAGACAACTCGTAAAAAGACAACTCGTAAAAAACACGTTGTTTGAATACGTTACTGACTAGAACACATAGATTTGAACCCGTGTCGAGTGGGATAGCAATCGTGTGCCCAACCACTCGACCATATCGTCTCCCCCAAACTGGCCTACCTCCTGTAAGTTTAAACTCGGTTCAAGCTAAATTCTCTGCCCCTAAGCCTGTGGCGACATGTGATCGTTCGCTTCACTGCGCGCGAGGTACGCGTCGCTGGTTTTTTTTCTAATGGCTAGCAGAGGAGAATTATATATATAGATTATATAGCGGTCTAAAATGCTCAATAAAATGTTTCCATTGATCAATTTAGTAATAATAACAATTGAATATTCAATGGTCATCCAAAAGAAAGCTTCCCTGAAAATTTCAGCGCGCTAGCTAACTGGGAAGTGCCAGAAATTTCGATCGCAAGATTTGATTGGAAAGACAAACAAATAAACACACAGAGAAAGCAAGTTAAAGAAAACGTGGGAAAAAACTACTGAAGCAGGTTAACACTGCGCCTTGATCTGCTCTATACGAAATAAAGAAAAGTTCTTCCCCTTTCTTCATGTCCACAACCACTGACCCAGCAGCGCTAGATCTGTTAGATTTAACATCAATAGTAGCACACACCCTTACAGTTTCAAACTATCCCGTTATAGATGATTGCGTAAATATAAATAAAATAGAATCCATACTTCCATTTTTTGTTGTTCATTTTTGGTCAATTTTGTATACACATACAATAACTCATACAATGTATTTGTCTTTAGGTGTTATCAGTATTTCTTTTAATGCACCTCTTCGGAGTGTGGGGGGGGGGGGGGGGGTCATTGACTTAAGCACGTCCATTTCCCATCCACTTGCAAAAATTAGAAAGAAAATATATATTTTTATATAACAATAATTTTATAGAAAATATATATTTTAAGAGTGCCCACTCCCCACACAAACTTAACCCCCCCCCCCCCCCCCGCAGTAAAATGGCCTAAAACAAATACTGAATGGTACAACATAAACTAATGAAAAGACAAAGTTTCCGTATAAGGATCAAAAAGTCATAGTTTAGCATGTATTTGTGAACTTGAACATGTCAATCATACAGACGTTTTCTACTCAACAGAGTCACGTGTATGTAACAGATGTTCTCGTTGTGAAGAGCTTGATGATCCCACACTTGTCTGTGACAATTTGAACTTTTGATCAGTACGTGGATGCTACGGTCTAGATTCAATCGAACCCTAGGAATATTTGTACCATCACACGATGGTTTTATCTTGTCCGTGTGACACTTTATAAAAGCACAGATAAATTCATTGGAATTGGTCTGTGGTATGGAGATAGGTATTGTACGTCCATATAAGATAAGTATGTCTATACTAACGCTGCTGGGTCAGTGGTTGTTGACATGAAGAAAGGTCAAGAAATTTAAAGTATTTTACGCAGACCAAGACCCAAAGTTACCAGCTAAATTAGTTTTATTATCGTTAGGTTATAGAAGTACAACACAATACATGGTGGATGGTGAACTCACAAAACAACAAACTTGTAATCACAAAGTCAAATATAAGACATTTACTTTGACCGGTTATTATTTGCATTTATATCAATACAATAAACAATGAATGTCCATAAATATCTGTCTGCTTTTAAAAAGAGAAAATGTGTTAAGTGTAAGAGACTGCATCAAAAGGACTGAAGTTTCAAGTCTTTAAGAGAATGTTCTTAAGATGTACTTTTGTATATGTATGTATAAACTAAAACATACAATTTACATTTTATGTTGAGATCATAATTTTCCAATGATAAAAGCAACAAGGGACATAACAAATAAATTATATTTCAATGTATACGTATCTTGATAAGTTCCCTTGAAGGTTTCTTTATATTTTTTAAAATAAGTTCAAAGTTTGCCGCTTGAAAGAGAAATATTAGGAAAATAGTTATTAATCTTTAAAGTTGCATGTTTAAACACATTTTTTTAATTTTAATTTATAGATTACACTATATTCACAAAAGAATGTTAAAATGTTTGATTATTTCTAGATATCTGTGTGCGTAGGCGTATATATATATATATATAGCTTCCGAATGTTTATCCAGAGATAACGAATGTAGATGACACGTAGCATGGAAGCCGAGGTGTGTCTATCCTTGGTAATTCATATAGCTACAAGTGTTTCTGTGAACCGTAAAAAATATTTTTTAAATATGTAATACATAATGTAACATATTTGTTATATATTACTGTTGTGAATTTACTGATAAGCGTGGCGTTTAAACAAATGTGTCGCACAACCTAAAGACAAACAAACACACACGAGTAAAAAACACAAAACTAAATAAAACACTGGCTCGTTAACACTAGAGTTTTATTATATCTGCAATATCTACACAAAGACAGGCGATTCTAAATCTCAAACTCGTACACAAACTACGATTTAGCAACTATATAAAAGTACAAAGAAGTAACCTACACTAGCGCGGTAGAAGAACTGGACTGTTATACAAGGTTGTCGCAAACATGTACACAAACAGGTGCAAACTATGATTAATCCAGTTACTCCAACAGCCACTGATGCCAGTTTGATTTTACAGAATGTCATCTACTAAATTAAAAAATAAAGTGAATATTTTGTCAAAGTTGTATTAATTACATTTATATTAAATACTTTTAAATAGTTTTTTTTATTGGTTTACGAAAATAAAAGATGTTTTCATAAATCCTTATAAAAAACAATATTTTTTATATCTCCGTCTAGAATACTGCACCTAATCAAATCCTTACAGTATAACAACATATGTGCGTCACCGCAAGCATGCATACAAAATTTCGAGTGCACATATACACATGTGAGCACGTATGTGCAAGCATTTATGTGTACTCTAGTGTGCATGTGTTAGTAAGCATCAGACACAATATTTGGTTTAGCTCACACACACAAGATTTGGTTTAGCTCTCTCACACACACAAGATTCGGTTTAGTTCACACACACAAGATTTGGTTTAGCTCACACACACACACAAGACTTGGTTTAGCTCACACACACAAGATTTGGTTTAGCTCTCACGTGTTGGGCAGAAAACGCTGGTTCTAAACGTTGTTGAAGATATAAAACAAATAGAAATAATTGTGATATTTTATTGTAAAACCAAAAATACAACACCAGCCAACTACTGTAAAAAGTACGTTGTGTTAGTCAATGTGTAGTTAGATCCGTTTAATTTCCTTTTAATTTTAATGAGCAGTGTTAGTCTGGGCAGATTTAACCTAAATTTTTTAATATAACTAATACATCTTCATGTGTCAAAATAATATGCGCCATATTGCACGCTAAAACTGTGTACATCCTGCTTTTATTTCTGGCTTGGATTCCATAGCATTTGTTCATATAAAGAACAAAGTACTAGGCAGCACTTGTTTCATTTAGGTGGTTTTCACCTAGATGAGTATTAGTCCCTAGTTATCGAGGCTAATTTAGGAAAGGGACCGAAACCGCGACTTCAGTGAAAGCAATCATGAGATCCATTTCTTGAAAACGGGGATAATAACGTAGGGGTGTGACGTCATAGACCCATTAGACATAGCGTCGTTTAATTTGTTTGTGTTTGGTATAGTATTAAATTTAAAATTAAAATGAAAATATCAAATGAAACAGATAAACATGATTTATATTTGTTGAAAGTCTCAACTAAAATAGACAGATCGGAAAAAACTTCAAAGATTGTAAACATTGTGCTGCAGATTTGATTCTCACTACAGCTGAGCTTTTTGATTTTGCGATGTAAGGCTCTGTGCTAACATACATATATATATATACAAATACATATACAGGAATAACCACACACACACACTATATATATATATATATATATATATATATATATATATATACACTTGATAACTAAAAAGATGTTTTAATTATTATATGTGTTAATGTATGTGAATGTACAGTCACAATGTTATTGAATACATCAAAAAAATAATAACACGGAAATATTTTTTTTTCAAACTAAAGGCAGTAGTGATCAAAATGACAACAGTTCTTTGCAGTATAATAATAAAAAAATTCTTTAAAATTTATAACAAATTAGTGTTTGTTAAGTGAATTAATTCTAACAATCGTTTTTTTAAATAGTTCATAATCATGTAGTTCAAGGTATAAGTATTTTTTTTAACAATTAACATGAAAATTATGATTAGACCATATACCTAGTGCTCACATACTGATAAAAGATATTTAAACAGAGCAGTCTTATAGTCTATTAGAGATATGAGCTTAGTGTCGTCAAGTATGACACATTATTGGTGAGTACATTGAATAAGCTAGAACTCCCAAATGATGACTAAACGAATAACATATAAACCACTTAAGTTTGTGTAGACATGTAGTCTACAAAAACAGTAAGTTGTTAGCGTGTGTATTACATGATGGTTACATATTTTATTGTTTGAGAATTTAGCATCCACCATATTTCGTGTTGTACTTCTATAAACTAACGATAATAAAACTACTATAGCAGGATAAAGCTGCGTCTTGATCTGCGAGGAACACTCGAAAGTAAAGTTCTTGACCTTTCTTCATGTCAACAACCACTGACCCAGCAGCGCTAGTGTCGGCACATTTCACTTCTGTAGCCGTACATCACTCGTCTCCAGCCCAAACACCAACTCTAATCAGTTTATCTTCCCTTTCATGTAGAGTTACACAGACAAGATATAGCCCATCATGTGGTGATACAAATTTACCTGTTGTTTGATTAAAATGTTGACCGTTATATTCACGTACTTTACCAAATGTTGAAATAATTGATCCAGTACTGACAGGTGTGGGCTCATCAAGCCTTACATAACAAGCATATCTGTTACATACACGTGACTCTGTTGATTAGAAAACATATGTATGCTTTATATGTTTAATTTCATAAATGCTCTGACTATTTGAATCATACAATGTGCATTTACATTTTCAAAAATTAAAATGTGGATGATCAGTATCCATTAAATTTACATAATTGTAACTAAGACTACAAATTTCAAATATTAGTTTAGTATCACCCTAGGTTAGTTTAACGTATAGTACAAATTGAAGATATTAGTTTAGTACGAGTGTATCTCGTCACGTAATATGTAACTAGCACAGGGGTCGGCAACCTGCAGCTCGCGAGCCGCATGCGGCTCTTTGGGTGTCCAGTTGCGGCTCTTCAGCTCCATGCACAAATATTAATAATTATTTTATTTTCAAAACTCATACAAATATTAGTCTGCAACACTCGGTAATAAACGATATAACATAAGATATAAACAATACCCATTCAATATTATATTAGTATATTTAGTTACTCCCTATCTCAGTGTACTTCCTATTACATTGTCCATTCCGAATCGAAACATTCAACTTCGTAGTGGATATCACAAAGAAACTAAACCAGCTAAGTGTAAAACTGAACGGAAAAAAACCCAGTCTATTTCTTGCTTGAAGAAGTGGTTTGTTTCGGAAAAAAATACTTTTTTTGTTGAATACATGGTGAGCGGTAAATTACTTAATTAGAAAAACATCTGAAAAAAAAATCGTTATAAAACCAAAGCTACTATTCAATCACTTCAGCATTAATATAAACAAAATGAGGGATGTTTTCACTGAGAGATTTGAGCACTTTATAACAAATGCAAGTACTCTTGCTTACATAGTAGATCCTCTCAACACAAATTCAAATGAGATTATTTCATACATTCAAATATTCAAAGCTTTTTTTTTAAATCTAATATATAAAGCTCAATTCTGTATGTAAAAATACATGTTTGTCGTTGACATAATTTGATGGATTAAAGTGTTAGATAATTAAAGTCCTTATGGTCTAAATTTATGAGTTAAAAAATTAATATTGAAAGTTTTGGGAAATAATTTTCATTTATCAAACTGAAAGTAATAATTTTCGGCATCTTCATTAAACACAAGTTTTAAAAAAATATCATCTTTTACAAAAAATTCTAATTATGTCTTTATTTAGTCCTATAGCACTTACTTCCCTTTGATAAATTAGGAAAACACAATTACTTCCCTTTATAAAACCATTGCATTAGTGGAAAAGAATTTACTTTTTATTACTTTGTTTTGGTGTTGAGAAAAAAATAATTACATAATTAGCGGGGATTGATCAAGTGCAAATGTTGTAGGTATTTTACGGATAAGCTTGGAGTATTAAAATTATTCATTAAATTAAAACAGGCGCGTTCGTTTAAGTGAGTACAAAAGACTATGAATAAGTTGGGGTACTATAGTCGTTTATTAAGCTAAAACAGGCGATTCCGTTGGGTTTGCGTTAGTGGTTGCGGTTTGATTTGGTTCGTTTTTGTTCTTTCTTTTTTCGTTTTTGTTTGCGTTTTTTTCTTTGGGTTTGTATTTGTGTTTTTGGTTGGTTTTTGCGTTTGGATTTGGTTTGTTTTCGTTTGCTTTTTCATTTTTTGTGTGTGTGTTGTTATTGGTTGGTATTGGTGTTTGTGGTTGTGGTTGGGTTTGTTGTTAGGTTTTTGTTTTCGTTTGCTTTTTTGTTTGTTTTTTCTTTGTGTTTGTATTGGTGTTTGTGGTTGTGGTTGGGTTTATTGTTAGGTTTTTGTTTTCGTTTGTATTTGTAATTGTGTTAGCGTTATGTTTGCGTTTTGTTGTTTTGGTTTTGGTTGGTTGTGGTTTGAGTGGGCAATGCCGGGTTTATGATGATTAAACACACAGGTGATGGTCTTTAACAGAAAGGTTTTTCACAGAAGCCAGAGCAGGGCCTGGCCGGGACGGCTAGTTAGTATGATATTTGTAAAGGATTATATATGTACTATTGATATATTGACATAAAAATGTTAGTGGCTCTTTAAAAGCCGGGTAATGTTGTAAATTGTAACTTTTGGCTCTTTCGGCTCAAAAGGTTGCCGACCCCTGAACTAGCAGAAAACAAACCGCAGTTCTGTAAATGTCTTACTGTACTAGGGCAGACCGCTGTAGGTCGACCCCCGACATACCAGGTGGTGTAATGTACCAGGTGAGGAAACAAACACCTGACGGAAACCCACGGGTCTAGAGACTGGCACTATGGGTGAGTGAAATGTTCCATTCTTTATCACGTTATGGTCTGTCTGGCTAACGAACATCACGTTATGGTCTGTCTGGCTAACGAACATCACGTGATGGTCTGTCTAACGAACATCACGTTATGGTCTGTCTGCCCAACGAACATCACGTTATGGTCTGTCTGGCGGTTTCATTTGTTTAAAAACGTACCTATTAGATTCAAATCTTTGGACAATTTTGAAATGGCATCTTCAATATTTTGCACCTAAAATATATATTTTATAAAATTAATGAAGAAGTCACATAGTTACGTAGAACATATAATAGCTGGCAACTTGTAAGTGTAGAACATAATTCAATGTTTTTAAAAATTATAAATGTATTGCTTAATTTATGAAAACATATGTTAGCAACTGGTTTATTAACAGAGTGTTAATAGTTAAGGGCGGATTTATCAACATCGCAATTTAATGTTTAATAAAATCACTATACATATACCCTCGTTTTTCTTTCTTCTCTAGTTTCCAAGTTCTTGTTAAAGACTTGAATCAGTTTGTCAATAGGCATCAATCTCTGTTGTGGTAGTTTGTACATCACATTGTGCTAAAGACCAGAAGAGTCAATTAATGCATTAAAATTTTGATTACTTTTACTTGACATAAAAACTAACATAAACATGTGTTTTAAATCTAGTAATAATATTAAAGTATAACTGGCGACAAAGCTACTATGTTGAGTTTTGATTTAACATGGTTATTACATGTGAAATAAGTTATCTGGCCAGTATGTGTAAAATTGTGTACACACATAATTAGCAATTTTACCTTTTCTATTTGTGTTGATGTATTCAGTATGGTTTTAGAACTCTCTTCTTGTAAGGCAGCCATCAGATCAGAAAGTCTTTTAATTTCTTTTTTTATACTGGCTGTTTTATCTGTGTGATCATTCATCTCTATGTTTAATTTGTGTAATTTGTTTTCATGCTCTATCATATCTAGAGACAGTTTCTCTAGTGTTTTGTTTGACTTGGATTCTTTCCCTTTTAAACTTTCAATTTCTTTGTTCAGCTCCTTTACTTTGTTATCTTGTACACTCATTTGTTTTCTGAGGTTTTTAAAATTCTGCTTTTGTTTTTTAGTCAGTTGTTCAATGTTTACCCCCATGTCACTCTGTTCTGTTACAAAGTTGTCTCTCCATTGTTTTATTTCTGATATGTCATCTGTAGACTTGTGTTGTGTGTCCTGTAGTGAAGACAGTGTTGTTTCAATATAGGCGAGTCTTCGCTCTAGGTTAGGATGTTCTTCAACTGAGAATATTCACAAATATAAGTTTGAAATTTAAAATACCGAAATCTTGAAAAAAAAGTGTGATAAAAATTAAACAAAACCAAGGTATCAATCGTACATTTTTTTACAAAATACAATACTTGTACATATTTTAAAATTATATCGAGTATATGATGATGCTATTTAACGTGTTACACCAAAGCATACTATAATATACCCGCTGTATGTGTGACTTGTGTCTTGAGTTGTCTTGTTGATTCTACTGTTAAAAATGATGCTGTTGTCTGTGTGTCAGGCTGTGGTAAAGATGGCGTTGGTTTGTTGACATCCATGTTGTCCTCGCCTGGTGGAATCGCATTTATAATTTTATTTTAATTGCAGTTTAATTGAACAAGGATACTATAGTACACACAATAAGTTTTACTGGTTTAGCTAGTTCAAACTATAACGCCAACCATGTAATGTTCTGATGAAAAAAAAACTTTGATTATCATCTAAATTTAAGCAAACACAAATAGTTCCAACACTTCATTACTGAACACAGAGACTACATTACCATAGGCAGAGGCGTAGCGAGGGGGGAGGGATGCGGGCGGGGGGTGCGGACTGCACCGGGTGACACCATTTAGGGGGGTGACACCAAGGCAAAAAATAGCAAAATATATAGAGGAAAACTCGAGCGGGGGTACAAATCGAATGTTTGAGGGGGGGGGGGGGTTGCAAATCGAAAGTTTGAGGGGGGCGGTGCAAATTGAAAGTTTGAGGGGGGGGGGGGTGCAAATCGAAAGTTTGTCCCCGGGAAGGGTCGATACTACTCTGGGGGGTGACACCATTAAGTGCCGCACCGGGTTAAACCCGACCTCGCTACGCCACTGACCATAGGCGGCTTTGAGATTTTAAATTATAAAAACTATTGGAGTATTGACTTGAAATATGTGACGTCACATCCAACAAGACCGTGGCTGCTGTGTCCAGTTCTTGTGATAGCTCGATGTAGCTGACAGATGATTTGTCAGTTTTTTCTTCTAGCCACGCCTTACTTTTTGCAACAACCTGGTTAAAGCAAACAACAACAATATTTTCAAGTTGCCACGTGTGGCAGAGCTTTATTCCTAAACACGTGTGGTTGTTCTGTGTTTTTTAACACATGCACTTCGAAAAACTCTAAACCTACTTTATCGTGAATAAAATGATCTTTACATTTTAAGTATAACGAAGAATTTTTAGTTTGTAATGACTTACCTTTTTCATATTTCCCAAAACAGGTTCCAGAAATTTTATCTGTTATTCCAAATATTTCATGCGCTCTGTAACAAACTTGAAGTGAATTCTTGAAGGCATCTAAATGTTAATAACACTATATTAAAAAAAAAAAATATTAACTCTGTCATCATCACTAAGTAGGCTACCCCCCCCCCCCCCCTATGATAATCTACCGCCCCCAAACGAAACATCGAAAATATATACTTTTAACAGTAGGTGCCCCACCCCTCCCACCCCTTGGAATTTTAGTTCTCCCGCCTCACCTCCACCCAAAAAAAAAATTAAGTGCCACCCCCTCTCCCCCGGAGAAGAAAGCCGGAAGAAGCACTGATCTAAAGTCGATTCATTTAGATCATTTTATGATAATATGTAGCCTATTTGTTTTCATTAGAATAGTAAGTCCAGTGCACATGTTATTAATGTCCGTCAATATGTAGATGACTATATCGTAAAGTATCATGGAATAGGATCTGATAGTGGAGGTATTGTTAACATAACGTATTTTTTATAACAAAATCCACTGCGCTCATTCGTCATAGTTAAATCCTTTAACTACTAAACTTTGCTAAAATTATACACTTGGGTATTTCCGATTTTCACTTTCATTATCTATCCAGCGTTGTGATGAACTATTTAATATTTATCTATGAATTGCCTAATTATACAGTAATAAAATACGTTTTAAATAAAACGACCTACATTCTTTTCTATTAATAAGTATATTTTTATGGAAATTATTATCAAGCTTTATACTTTAAAAAATAATAAGAATAGCTTAGTAAGAATTAAAGTAGAAGAGCTTTTGATTTAGTTTAAAATTCATTATTTTAAGTTTTTTTGGTTAGATTAAAAGGAAATGCTATTTTAAAAATAGATGAAATAGATTAAAGATTAGCAGTACCTTAAGTAGGCGTATTTTTGTTGTGAGGAATCAAAGGACTAGAATTGTGTAGAGTTGCAGAACTTCCTCCTTTAAATAATAGTGGGCTTTCCCGAAACGCGTTGTCATTATTAGAGTTATCTTTCTTATAGTGATGATTTAATTACGTGTAGATCAGCCACAACAAGAAATATATTTCATCAAAACAACTTTCGATCTAAGGGTAAGTAAACAATTGTAGTTCTCATACACGTTGTTTTAATTATTTACACATTGACTAACGTGTGTGAAGTTTAAATGCGAAATTGCACCACGATATGTCATATATCGAGGCGCTAAAATGCGAAATTACGTAACATTTGTGTCTCGCAGTTTAAATATTTCACTGGAACTATTGCATCTGCATTTATAATTATGTTATCAGAGGCGCAGCATCCCAAGCCGGCCCGGTGCGAATTCTTAATTGTGTGCCCCTACTCACTTATCTTATTTTTTTGGGCGTTTGTTAAAAATCTCCCCCCCCCCCCCCACCGCAGCACCAGTTGAAAAGGTTGGTGGCGCTTTTTACCAGTCACTACTTTTTTTTTGAGCCACACTTAGACTATTCAATACCTCATCTATCAAAGATTTCTACGCGATTTGACGCTCCATTAAGGAGCCACTGTATGTTATTAAGAGTCATATGAATTTATGATCACTTTATCAGTAAGCAGTGTAGAGGTGCCACTTTATAAAACACATGCAGATGTTACTTTCAAATTAACATTTATGTAGCCTATCTATTACTTACATGCAGATGTCTGAGTACAACCCCACCCATGAATCTTTGAACATTTTGTTGGAACAGTTAGAGAAGATGCATGTTCATCTACAAAGTAATTTAAGTCATTTTATTATACAGGTGAGTCTAATGTATATGTTTTTAATGTACTTATATACTTTAAATCGAACTTATGTGAATTGTAAATTGTATTTAAAATATTTATATTTTCTTGTATGGTTGATGCCTACTAAAAACGAGCATTTATAAACTAAACATGTATCAAGATTAGAAAACTATTTATCTACTAATCTATTTGTTCTAGTTAATTAGATCAAACTAAAAGCCAGGAACTGGATGGATAAAACGTCTGACACTGAAATGACATTTAAAGATGTAGTTGCCATAGTAACATCCGCCAATGCTACATTGATAGAACATCTAGATATTATAGCTGGTAAACTTACATCTGTATCTTGCTTTTAGAATTGGCAGCCTAAGTGCTATGTTCAGCTTTTGGTTTTATTTCTTTACTCTCAGTTTTGAAATATAAATTCTGTAACATATAACAGAAAATTTAGGCATGGCATTTAGCTATTATTTTGGAGAATAGTGTTTATTTTATGTTAAGCATACACAAAGCAAGAGTTTTTTTTAAACACATATTGGTTAATATATTTATTTTAGATTGATTAAGCATGTAGCTAATCAAATCAAAGTTTAAACTGAGTGTTACTTTCGGTCTTGATATAAACATATTTGTTTTAGATTTTTTTTCTAAATTAAATTAAAGATTCTTACCAATGAAAGACCTTTTAAAAAGTTTCAAATAACCCATCGTTAGACCAAACATTTTTTTTTACAGAATACAACATGCAGTCTACTACGACACTTGTACAACACAAGAACCTGGTCTAACAGACACCAATGAATCTCAAACTGGCGAGAACGTTTTTTAAACTAAAGAACAAATATAAGTTTAATAGGTGTTGCAACTAATGTCGCCTAAACATTTATTGACTACGTTTAAAAAGCTGTTAGAATACACTAGTTTAATTTAAAAAATGTTGTTACTAGTCTTTGGAAGCTTCTCTCATTTTCTTTCTGAAATGGGTTTAAACCTTGTATTCAATATACATATAAAATATAATCAGTCTTATTCAAATCAGATTTGTTACATCGAGTGAAACTTGTTGAGAAGGCTATAGTTTCTCTTCAAGAAACGAAACAAAAGACTGAATATGACGTGTCAGAACTGAAACAATGGAGAGAAATCTTGATAACAGAACAGAGCGACTGGACAACAAGAATTGAACAACTCAGCAAAAAACAAAAGCAGAATTTTAAAAACTTCAGAAAACAAATGAGTGAACAAGATAACAAAGTAAAGGAGCTGAACAAAGAAATTGAATGTTTAAAAGAAAAAGATGCCAAGTCAAACAAAACACTAGAGAAAATGTGTCTAGATATGAAAAAAATATGAAAACAGCTTACAGAAAATAAATTCAGAGATGCAAGTTTACACAGATAATAGCAAAATAATGGCCGACACATCAAACAGGATTGATAAATTAGAATTAAAGGTACGTCAAATTAAAATTACATTTTCGAAATATTTGTGTAAACCATTCTTAAACTCATCTGTAATTTCAAGTTTAAATCTGGACACAACACTAAACAGCTGAGCCTATAAGTGTTTACATTATGAAACTGAAATTGTTTTGAACCGTTGTTTTATGGCCTATACTTTATAAATGTTATACATGTTTGAGATATGTATTTTATAAAATAGTTATTGTTCAAAACACAATGTGCTTTACTGCACATTGAAAGATATTAGTGACAGACCAAAGAAATAACTAAATAGTTAAGACTCTTACACATTAAAAATAGCATAGGCTACCAATACCAATTAGAAAAATTAAAACAAATTTGAATATTATTAGTCAACACCAAAGCATATTAAATGCCCACACGGGTTAAGTGACTTCTTTTAAAACCCGACTATTTAATAGTATTTTATTTTTCAAACTATTTTTTTTTACAATTTTTAGCCGAGAAAATGGAATGCATTTCATAGCATGCGTATTGATAAGTAGATCTATAAATCGAAATAAAATCATATTCTAGAATTGAAAGATGTGGGAAGCGAATCTTATTTAAAATGACGTCATTAGTATCCTGCATTTTGTTTGACATTAAATTTGTAATTATATTTTTATATTACAATCACTGAAGCCATTGGTGTTGTGTACTTATGTAGTTTCCATTGTTCAATAAGGGTTTTTTTTCTATTTGTATCTTGTGATGTCATTTTATTTGCCAGTGATAGTTTTGTGTTACTTACATGTTCTCTAGAACGTTCTTGTCACAAATCTCGCTGGTTGAATAATTAAAGTTGTGTTTTTACATTACAAAATATTTTTTTTCCTTCTTTAAAGAAAATTTAGTTGATACATTTCATATACCCACATAAATGTTTTTAATAAAAGTCCGTATCTTTAAGTTCTCCATGTATCGCTGAAGATACTGAATTTATAGCTTTGGAAAATATGTGACGGACAGAGAGAAAGAGAGAGAGAGAGAGAGAGACAGGGAAAGACAAATGCGCACAAGGTCTTTTATATATTATGATATCTGCATTTAAAATGACATACTTATTCTTTTTGTTTTAAAATCACAGCACAGCGTGGTGTACAAACTCCTAGAACAAAGATTGATGCCTTTTGACAAAATGATTCAAATGGTTAACCAAAGATTCGAAGATAGAGAACAACATTTAAAGAAGGTGAAGTTCTTTAATATAAACATATTTTGTGATTTTGATAAAAATAAATGAACATTCCAAAACTTATAACCTTTGCTTAAAACTCTTATGCACATTAACGTTTTTCTTTAAATCAAGTTTCTAATTATTCGTTTCAGATGCCATCAAATGTATTGTAATTAGCGACAAAACTCTTAGTTATAACATTATATTATGTATGTAATATGTTATAATTATCAATATCAATAGATCCACAAGTTGAGTTTGTTACCTATAATATTTAATTTGATAACTTTTAAAAAAATGTTTTTTAAATTTAAGCTGGAGGTCATTGAAAGTGAGATAAAAAGGCTATCAAGAGATATTCATACGATCGGTATGTTTTTATAAAGCAGTACAAATTCCATTTAGTTTTAAAACTGTAGTAATACAAAAATGTGGTGTTTATTGTATGGTGGACATATACTCCAATGTGAATAATCCTTTTTTTTTAAAGTTCGCGCTGTTAAAACATGGTTATGTGAAGTCCAGAATGTTAAAGAAATTGCGATTAGTATAAAATGTTGCTATGCTAAATACGAATTAAAATGTTTTAACACGCATTTATGCTAGTCTGCTTTTAAATGACGTCACCAAACCGTCACTTAGCAAATTCAAAAACAATTAATTTTTTACGTATTATTAAAATAAACCATAATTTAGATTGACACAGCCATAAAAAGAAATACATTTAAAATTATTAATATAAATGCAAAAAAGCGGGAATGATCTCCCCTAAACGTTCTCGTATATTCTTATATAACACTAAGAGAGATGGCAACTAGGGATATAGACATGATTTAATTACATCAGCTTATTAAAATAGAATATAATAATTTTTCCCATTATCTTTTATGAAACGCCATCATTGGTTCCAGCCCCCAAAATGGCACACAGTTTGTTTACGTTACGTTTATTATTTAGAAAAAGTGTTTACATAAACACATTTTATATAAAAACATTGTGTAGGAGAATGTAAAGAAATTAACTTGTTTTATAAAGTGTAATTTGTTTTTAAAAGCAGGTGGGAGCTTACTTTGGACGTCGGCAGGGGGCGGGGGTATGGGACATTGAATTACTATCTTGACTGTTACGCAAAGCATAATACAATTTATTTTAAATTCACTGAATATAGTTGCACTTATATCTACTTAATAGTGAACAATTTTATATCGTTTGATTATCGTGACTGCTTATCTCCCTAATGACCTTTATATTTCTCTCTGCGCTTTTTTTTTCATTTTCACATGTACTCGTTTAAAACTTGTGGCGTTCACAGTTTTGATGAGACGGTACTAAACTAATAGTTTAAATACATAGGAAACGGCAAACGTACACTACTAACAATGAGGATACTAAACTATTGTTTGAATAATATGTGCAAGAGTGGATACATTAAAATAAAATAAAAAAACAATATAGCATATATTTATAATATTTACCTCAGTGAGTTATAACAGAAATTAATTATTTATTTGTTTATGTTCATGACTTTGGAAATATATCAACCAAACAATAGCAACTGCTCTAATTTCAACTGTGAATCATTTTATATGACGGGTAACTAACGTTATTACAACCACATTGTAACTTTTCTACATAATCAAACACAACTATACTATAAATGAATCTTTAAAAGCGTGCAGATTCTGAGCTAATGCCTATTTTTCATACTCAACAGACACACGAGATTGTAACAGATATGCGTGTCATATACAATTGAAAGGTGACACAGCTGTCAGTCGAGGGTCAATTGTTTCAAGATTTGGTGATGTACGGGAATATAACAGTCAAAACTTCAACCAAACAACAGGAACATTTGTATCACCACACGATGGTTTATATCTTGTCTGTGTCACTCTACACGAATGGGAAGACAAACTCATTAGAGTTGGCATCTGGGCCCGTGACATGTGGTATAATGTTATCGAAGTTAAATCTGCCCACACAAGCGCTGCTGGGTCAGTGGTTGTTGACATGAAGAAAGGACAAGAACTTTACTTTTATGTGGATGGTGCGGATCAAGACGCTAAGTTATCCTGTTTTAGCAGTTTTGCTATAGTTAGTTTGTTCAAGTAGGGTTTAAAACAAGGCACACCCCTACCCCTTAAACTGGGTTTCATTTTGTTTAAAAAAAAAAGTAACAACTTAAAATATTGTTAAGATCAGATTATATTTGTGTGGCGTCGCCTGAGCCTGATAATTCAGAATGTTTTTTTTTTAGATTCGGCGTAAATAGAGGTAGCAACCCGTAAAAATATAAACTGATCTGAAAATTATTATAAATGAATTTTCCTTAGATGGAACCAAATTGAATCGGGGATGGGAGTGGGGGATGCTCCATAGAAAAAAATCGTGAAATTAAATAAGGATACAATTTTATATTTATTTAGGCATATTTGTATACATTATGTTCTTGGAAATCGAAACAATATTGTTTTCCAGTTTCAAACGATACAGAAGAGGGGGCACAGTATTTTAGTTAAAAAATTTCAACAAAAATATTTGGCAAAAATATTACAATTTAAGACTAGGTAACTGTTTCGCAAATTTCTATTTCTTAACTTTAATTCAGTTTACTAAATACATATTATAACGATTGCAGTTACAATTATGTTCAATACAGACATAGAAGATTTTAGTGTATGTAAAACATAAACATCACAATAAAACAGATTAGTAGTAGGCTACCAATTTGTTTGGGGCAAAGCTGGCATAATATGAATGATGTGTTAACTAAGTTAGGTAGTAATTTGTATACTTTTTATAACCTATTGTATTGAAACGTTAGAGCCAATCTGCAAATAGTATACTGGATGTAGTTAAAATAACAAATATTATTTTTCAAATGTTTTCCTTTCTTTTGTCCTCAGAAAATAAGATAAAAAATATTTGCTTTTCTTGAGTTTGAACATTCCACTTAAACATTATTTAATTTGATTTTTAAAAAATGTTAACAGCCAACAACGAAAGTACACGCTTCGTGATAATACAGTATTTATTTAAAATAGAATCGTCCCATAATTGTGGCTTTAGTGTGACAATTAGCTGCAGTACAAAAATGGGACACTTTTGTACATACAATATAATAATTACCATACACATTCATTAAATAAAGTAATGTGGTACTGCACAGCGTTTAAAAAATGGCTTTTCAGACAAAAAAAATAATTTTTATTAAAAAAGTGGGCCTGTTTATCGTTTTTTGTGTTGTTATTTTAAATTTTTACACACTATAAACATATACAAGAGTCTAATTATTTCAAAATACAATAATGAAATGTCTTTTTTTAATTATTTTAAATTATTTTTAGCAATGTTTCGAAGAAATGAGACTCAAGTAGAATACGAGTTTAATTGAACGTAAATACAATTTAGAAAAAATAGACAGTAAGTTATTTAAATATATCTGAATGTAAAGACATACTTTGAAAGTTCAAGCTAAGTAGTATCACTGGATGAATTGAGTTGTAGACGGACGGACTTACATTATTTTTTATTAATATTAACTCTTACGATTTAAGCTCGTGAATTTCAATTTCTAAATTTATTGAAATGATGTACACATTACTACCCTTGAAAATTAAAATAGCAAAAATTTAATATTTACGAATACGTACAGAAATTATATAAGTAATATACACGTAACCGATCAGTTTGGTACTAATAAGAACGAATCATAAAAATTGTCGGTGAACGTTTGTTGTAGGGGTGTATTTTACATGTGGTATTTAAATGTAGTGCGCTGGCTTATTTATGTAATCGATTGTATATTACTGTGTTTATGTTTAATTGTAACTTTGACTTAATTTGATTCTTATCTGTCACGAATAAAATGATAATCAAACTTAATTTTCTACTCAAGTCGAAAAATTAAACAAGTAACATCTAACAGAGAACTATTTAAATGTAAATTTGAAAAGTTAGATTAATATTGATAAAACCTACAAATTACTAATCACAGTATAATTAACTGTTATTAGATGGTAAAATATATGTTGAAACATGTAACTTTCTTAAAGTAGAAAGAGTCTTTAAAATATAATTTCAACAGCCTTGTTCTAAAAAAAAGTCAAACTTAAGTATAAAATCCATACGTTTCTAAATTAAAACTATATATATATATATATATATATATATATATATATATATATATATATATATATTTATATATATATATATATATATATATATGTATATATATATATATATATATATATATATATATATATATATATATATATATATATATATATATATATATATATGTTTGCGTGTGTGTCTGTGTGTGTGGGTGGGTATATAATGAGAACAACAATTGGAACATGTACGAAATATATTTCTGTACGAAATATATTTCTTGAATGTCTTGAAATAAATAATATGTAAAATTAAATGTATTCATTTAGTTTTTTTTTTAATCTGAAGTTACCTTTTCTTTCGACAAACAGTTGGTATTTCAATGTAATGAGTTGAATGATAATTGTTTTAGTAATTTTTATTATGCAATTTATTATTAATTCAATTATATAATAAAATAATATTCATATTTAAAGAATAAGGACGATGTTATTGAAGTAAATTTTTTACTTCTATTATGTTTAGCTTGCAATAGAAATGAAGCATGTGCGCAGTGAAAGCGTTATACAATAGTTTTTTTAAACAACAGTCACCAATTTCTTCTTCTATTCAAAATGGTTTTGCACATTCAAGATCTGTTAAAAATTTGAAAAAAAAAGAAAGTGTATCCAATGCCAATTTTATCAATACAGAACCATTTTTACTACTATTTCAAACTGAGGATTTAATAAATCATTTGAACTCGGTTATACTTTATACATCCAAGATCTGCATACGAAAAGAAGAAGAAGCATTTTTTTTTATCTTTAACAATAATTTTGAAAATATTTAACCCAATAACTTCCCAAAGGACACGATGTTGCTGCACAAAAAAAAAGAGATTATAAAGCTTTTCCTTGTAAGAAGTAGACATTTACTCTGTTTCCTCAAAGACTTCCGCGTCATCTGTTAGAAAACAACAAATATAAATACAAAGTAATAAGCAATCAAGTTACATTTTTCTTCTTAAAAATACCTAGGAAAAAATTATTTTAGTTTTTTTTAATTAGGGTGAGGTGGGTGGCGGGGATTGGGGTGTGGTATACAGTATTTAGTCTTTGTTAAATTAAACAACGTGTAACGGTGAAAGAAGAGGGGATGATTTATTTAAAATTATTCTTATTTATTTGAGCCCTTAGGGTTATGGTTTAGGGTTCGGGTTTGATATATTAGCTATTGATGATTTTTTTTTAAATTTAATAAATCATTTGAATACATCATACTAGAATTTAATTTAAAATTGTATTAATGATACATTTGAAAATTAAATATTATTATATCAAGCTAATTTTGTAAAAATGTTCTTAAAACATTTATCTTTTAAATTAATAAACATTCTCACTATTTGAAAAATACACTACACGTACTATATCTATATTCGAAAAAAAAACCATAATTTGCAAGTCCAAAATGATTTTTTTTGGCATTTACTAAAATTGAAGCAGATTAACTGCTGATTTTTTTTAGAAAAGTTGATTACACATATTCAAGGATATTTGTAGCATGGGAATTCAACACGACTAATTGATTACGTCTTAGGCCAAATTGAAAATATTGAATTTTTTTTATAATCGTCGTACAATAGCTAAAATAAAGCTTCTTTGAAAAAAAAATGGGCATTTCTATGGTGGCTTAATACTCACACACGGCCATACGCACACGTACACGCGCACGCACACATACACACACATACATATATACATATATGGAACATAAAGCTGCAAATAATTTATTTTATTTACCTGAAACACTTGTATTGTCACCTATTCCAGAGTCTCTATTTCCATTAACCGAGATTGGTGGGTTCATTTCATTAACCCATTGTGTTGCAGTGTAAGAAAGCTCATCAATGTTGTTTTTTGTAGCATTACTTAGTCTTTTTTTAATCCTAATAACAAATTATACATTTAAATGTAGATTTTTCAATGTATCGTTCTATAAAATGAATAGAATACAAATCATAAATTACACTTTTAGTTATACGTATTGAACATTTTCCTGTCGTTTTTTAATGATGTTGTTTATGTACTAAAATGGATCATTAATAATTTATTGAACTATTTTATTTGAAATTGAGGCTTTACACACAACATACATAAAACTACTATTTTCTTTTTAATTAGTATTAAGAAAACATTGGTTTGAATTAATTTTTTTGCCCTGTTACTAAAGAAAGGCTCCACAATGCCAATATTTAAATAAACATAATGAATGACGTTTACTGAAGTAAACCAAAGATAACATTAAATATTGGATGCATTTGTTTCTATTTTTTCTACACTTCATGCAATGTTAACACTCACTCGGATGTTGAAACTGAGCTGAAACTGTTGACTTCACTAATCGATCCAAAACTGTCATCATCTGACGTTGATTCCGAACTGAAAAATTTAGTCTGAAAAGCTGCTTATATGTAAATAAAATTAATTTATCTTAAATGTAAATCTAATTATATATACCTCACCCAATAATTAGATTAACATGTTTTTCCACATCTAACATGTATTCCAAAATTTCAAAATTGAAATAAATATTAAATTTTGTGAAAACGGAATTAGTAGGATACGGATAAATATTTTGCTAGACTTACTACAAATGGCACAAATGGTTAATATATAATCTTATCTTATTGCTTTGAAAAACATCTAAAGAGTTGACCATCAGACATAAAATTTATTATTGTGCAGTATGTTGAAAACATTATATTATAATATCTAGAATTAATTATTTCATAATCTGCTAATTATGCATCTAATTATGACGGATAAAACAAAATATTTCATGGTAGTGATAAAAACGCTGATTTAAGATTGTGTTTTAAATGTTTAAGGATAGATAAATAAATGTCACAGTTACATTATAATAAATCTAGCCTTCTGTTAAAAACTATACATACATTTTTTGCATTTGAACATTTTATTACACTATTTATTAAAACTAAACCCTTTTTATTTACTAATCTTGAATTCTCACAAAAACTCGATTTTACGTCACCCACTAAAAACCAATCGAGTCTCTCTCAACAAACCTTTTAACTG